TGAAGAATGTGCCTCTTAGACAAGTAGATACAAGAGACCAAAGGGGCGGCCTCTGTCCAGAGGTGAGATGGGAAGGCAGAGAGAGTTAGGAGCTGGTTGAATGTTCATGGGGAATCAGGTGGGGGGGAGGAGTGTGCTATCGCAGAATGGGGTGAGCGGTTGGGGTCTCATAGCAATGTATGTTAAAAAAAATTCTGTATGGGAGACTAACTTGAAATGTAAACTTCATTTAATTACAACAATAAAATTTTTGATTAAAAAAAAAAAATCACCAAGCATGGTGGAATGTGAACTAAAAGGGAAGAACTTTATATTGTTCACCCTAAGTGATGCTATTCTCTGCATATGAGTTCATTGCATAGGGCTCAATGCTGTAATACAAGCCACCAATTGTCATCTACATCTTCATAACCTGATAATCTTCTCCCATAAAGTTTATGGCCTAGAAATTCCTTTGGGGAAGTTCTATTCTGTCACATGGGGTTGCTGTGAGTCAAAAATCTGCTCAACAGCACCTAACAACAACATCCTCATACCAAGCATTATTTTTGATGCCAGTCATAGAAAGATGAGTAAGACTTGGTTTCTTCCCACAAATTGCTCACAGTCCAGCAGGAATGATGAACATGTATAGACTAATTAAATGTGAAAGCTGCTCTGCTGGTTGTGTATTCCTTTAGGAAAGTCTTGCAGTGGCTTTGCAAAGAAGGTGACATTTGAGCCTGGCTTTGAAGAATAAGTAGAATTTTGCTGGGCATCGAAGGAAAGTAATTCCAGGCAGAGAAAACACAATTACCGAAGTACAGAGCCTTGAAAATATTGGGGAATGGTCTGTACACAGATAATGGGTTGTTGATGATGATGCTAGAAAGGTTGTTTGAGGCAAGATTATGAAGATCCGTGGATTCCATGACAATAACTTTTTAATTTGTACTGTAAAAAATGGGGAGCCGTCTGGGTTTTTAAGTATCACAGTGACAAAATCTTTTCTAAGTTTTTGAAAGATAATACCAAAATCATTGCGGAGAGTGAATCATTGGCGTGGAAGAGTTAGGTTACCGGCCAGCCAAATATTGATCCTCCTATTCTTCAACCATGATCTACTTTTGTCATTCTTCAAGAACAGTCTTTAGTTGCCAAGTAGGCCCATAAAACACAAATGAAAAATTTAGGTTTCTTCACTTCAGTTATATGGGTTTCGTTCTCTATTTTCATAAAAAGAATATATTAAAATAACTATGTTTAGATCGATCTCTCTGGAAATAGGAGGGTAAATACATCTGTTGAAACTAATAACGTGGAGACCAACCATGCGCAAATCCTGTACCAGAAACTGTGGGGAGATAGGCATTCACTCGTTCATTCAGCTAACACTTAGTAAGGACCTGCTAAATTCTAAATAATCTGCTTCTTCCCGGGATACAATAGTGATCTAAAGACACACAATCTCACTCTTCCTGGAGCTTAATTCTACAAAGGGATTCAAATACTGGCTAAATTATCCACACAAATAAATGTATCCTTACAACTGGACCAGTAAGCAACATCATGATAAATGGAGAAAAGATTGAAGTTATCAAGGATTTCATTTTACTTGGATCCACAATCAACATCCATGGAAGCAGCGGTCAAAAAATCAAATGACATATTACATTAAGCAAATGGGCTGCAAAAGACCTCTTTAAAGTGTTACAAAGCAAAGATGTCACTTTGAGAACCAAGGTGTGCCTGACCCAAGCCACGGTATTTTCAATAGCCTCATATGCATGTGAAAGTTGGACAATAAGTAAGGAAGATGGCACAGGACTGGGCCATGTTTCATTCTGTTGTACATAGCATCTCTATGAGTCAGAACTGACTTGACAGAAACTAACAACAACAACAACCTACACACACACACACACACACGTATGTTAAATATTAACTAAAAATTAACGGCTATTTGTGGCAGCTGCAAAAGCCTTTCCTGTAACAAATAAATCGAAATGGCCATTTGTGCCTGGTACAAACCTTGACAGAACAAAAAGGAGTTTTCAAAGTATTATAATCTTAGGGACTTTCCCAAAAAGACAACGTGACGTTGAAGGATGTTTCTGACTCATCATACCAGACACAACTAACTCCCATCAGTCAAGTATAACTATGGAACAAATAACCAATAAACTCTCCCATACTTTGTTGAGAGGCAGACATTAAATATATACATATTTTAGGCATCCGTTTAGTGATATAACGGAGCCCTGGTGGCACAGGGGTTAAGAGTTTGGCTGCTAACTATATTGGGATAAAAGTTCTAAGACAAATTCAATGCCCTAAAAGGTAAGTTCTTGAGAGCAGGGCTTTGTATACATTTTTTTTTTTGTATACATTTAACCTTCTGAAAATTCACATCATGGTTTATTTTGTGTTCCTGTTAAATTTTGCTTAGTAATAGTTTTAAAAATCACCATTCCTTGACCGCCAATGGCCTAACACGACCTGAGACAAAATTGAAAATCTAATGAATTCAAATCTTTAAGACTCACCACTGTATAACAGATTAAATTGCACACTGGAATTCAGAGGAAGCTTAAAACAAATTTTTATATAGGTTCAACCTTGGATAGTTCTTGGTAGAGCTTATAGCCTGGTGTAAGCATCCAGGAAGTAAGTGTGATATGTTGCGTTTTTCCAGTAGAGAGGAGAAAACACAGCAGAGATCAAATATACTGGGGTATTTTTTGGTAAGTTTTATCATTGAATTTAGCGAGTCAGGTTCAGTCTCATATGTATCTAGAAGTTACTTCCATTATGATCACTTATAAGTTCTTAAATCAGAAAGGGTTTTTCTTTTGTTTTGCTCCACAGACATGAACGTATTCATACCAAGAAAAGTAATTTCAACAGATCTCTAATTTCCAGTGTGAAGGATGTGGATGATTTAGCAACCCTAGAAGTTTTGGATGAGGTAAGAAATTTTGGATGAGGTAAGAAATTTTGGATGAGGTAAGAAATTTTGGATGAGGTAAGAAATTTTAGATGAGGTAAGAAATTTTGGATGAGGTAAGTTTAGTTAAACTTGGACATTCTAGATTTTTTTCTGTTTTTTTACAGAAGTGGTGTGGGCAGGGGATTGAGGTAAAATATACTCTTCAGATAGCAAAAGTAATTTTCTTTCTTTGTCCCTTAGTATCCTGATTACCTCTCCTTTCTTCAGTTTTAATACATACAACTCAAATTTCCAGACCTCTCCAACCTGGTGTCATTTTTTACTTTTTTTCTTATTTTAATTTTTTGATGCTCAAGCTACAAAGGTGTGAGTTCCCACTAGCCTGAGTTGCTAGGTCAGAGACCCTTCTTCCCCTGAATTATTTCTGGGAGTCTCAAAGGGATGATTACTTCATTCAAGAACCGGTCAGTCTCCTACTCCCATCCTGTAGCATGCTCCCTCTTTTTTCCCTTCCTGTCTCAGCTTCCATTGCTCATATCCACAGGCCCCTAAAAGACTTTGAAGAGCCCATCTGTTACCATGGCCCATCTTGCCCTGTATGGGATTACAAAGCCCTGCTCTCAAGAACTTACCTTTTAGGGCATTGAATTTGTCTTAGAACTTTTATCCCAATATAGTACTTATCTCAGAAATATTTCATACATCTTTGTGAAGGTACAAATCCAAGCCATTGAATTACCCCTCAAACCAAAACGAAAACCAAACCCATTACCATCAAGTCAATTCCGACTCATAGCAATCCTCATTCTTCTTTATTCCAGGCAATCATATAATTAGAGAAATAAACCGCCCCTTTTGAGTAAAAGACCTGGGCCTTCTGTCCTGCCTGATTAACAGCTTGTTATTGCTAGTACTTCTGATACATGCCTAAGCATTTTGCTGAGCAAGGCACCAAATCAGGAGACACGTTCTGAACAGACGTAATTGTCTGGTAAATTTAGTGTTTCATAAACAAATCAAGTACTTCCTCAAAGTAGTATCTCTTGAGAATACCAAACATCTTGAAATCAAGTAGCATTTGCAAGTCAGGGGTTGTGGCACCTTTTTGAATCCTTACATATCTAATTTTGCAAAGATGTGAATTCCTAGGCTGGTGACTTATAAGGAAGGTTTCACTAATTATGTTGCTGACCTATATAGTAAACACTGGGTTTGTGCATTTTGTTGTTTGTGTTTTATTTTTTGTCATTTTTCCAGCCCAAGATTTTTTGCTCTTCTCCTTGTGTCATGTGCTATTATCATTTATGTGGATCATCATTTATAATTTCTGACACTATTTAAACTGAGTCCATGTACTCATATGATTTATCAAGTATGAAAGTTACTTTTCTGAATTTTTCACTCTGCCTCTTAAAGCCAAATGCCTAAGCAAAGGTCTAGGACATTCCACAGTGTCACTGAATAACCTTGATTTGGAGTTATGTTCACTGTGTTTTCCCTTCTAATTTCTAGTGTTTTCTTTGTTAATTTCATCTGTTACATTTACTTATCTCCTTGAAAGCATTATATACAATCCCGGTAATATATAGTGTCTTCTTTGGAAAATACAGGTAACAATGACATCTATCTATGGCTCTTGAAACCAAAGAAAATGCCTATCAAGTTAAAGGGTAGTTACAGACCCGATATTACACTTCTCTGTAGCAACATGTCTATTTTTTTCTGATCTTTGGTCCAGACTCCAGATATTTTATTTATTATTATTTACTTCTTTCACTGTAGTTGATCATAAATGATTTTTAACAGAGAAATTCTTTTTATTTTATTACAGAATACAGTCTCAGAGCAACTTGAGAAGTGTTATTCCAGAGATCAAATCTATATCTATGTGGGAGATATACTGATTGCCCTCAACCCTTTTCAGAGTCTGGGTCTTTATTCCACAAAGGTATGTGATGTGGCTTGCATTCTCTTCACCTTGTGCAAATAATTATATTATTCAGATACTTAAATGTATTTCAGTAATGCCAATGAAAATTTCATCTAGTACTTTGAATAAACAGTTGTATGATTATTGTTAAAACATTGCATAATAACTTATATTTTTATAATTTATTTTATTACTTAACAAAGAATTTAGAGAAAAAAATAGAAGATGAAGTCAATCTGGATGCAGTTTGTGGTCTTTATAATTTTCCAAAAGTATGTGGCAGAATGTCAACTTACATCCAATTACTGCTAACTACGCTACATATCATATCACTAACCTGCTGCTGTCGAGTCTAGTCCTTATAGTGACACCTTAGGACAGAGCAGACCTGCTCCCATAGGGTTTCCAAGGAGCAGCTGGTGGATTCAAACTGCCAACCTTTTGGTTAGCAGTCAAACTCTTAACCCCTGTGCCACCAGGGCTCCGTTATATCACTAAACGGATGCCTAAAATATGTATATATTTAATGTCTGCCTCTCAACAAAGTATGGGAGAGTTTATTGGTTATTTGTTCCATAGTTATACTTGACTGATGGGAGTTAGTTGTGTCTGGTATGATGAGTCAGAAACATCCTTCAACGTCACGTTGTCTTTTTGGGAAAGTCCCTAAGATTATAATACTTTGAAAACTCCTTTTTGTTCTGTCAAGGTTTGTACCAGGCACAAATGGCCATTTCGATTTATTTGTTACAGGAAAGGCTTTTGCAGCTGCCACAAATAGCCGTTAATTTTTAGTTAATATTTAACATACGTGTGTGTGTGTGTGTGTAGGTTGTTGTTGTTGTTAGTTTCTGTCAAGTCAGTTCTGACTCATAGAGATGCTATGTACAACAGAATGAAACATGGCCCAGTCCTGTGCCATCTTCATGATTGTTATGCTTGAGCCCATTGTTGCAGCCACTGTGACAATCCATCTCATTGAGAGTCTTCCTGTTTTTCGCTGACCCTCTACTTTACCAAGCATGCTGTCCTTCTTCTCAGGAATTGAAGAAGGACGTCATGCTTGGTATAGTAGAGGGTCTGTGAAAAAGTATGTGAGACAAAGTCTTGCCATCCTCGCTTCTGAGTAGTATTCTAGCTGTACTTCTTCCAAGACAGATTTGTTCATTTTCTTGGCAGTCCATGGTATAGTCAGTATTCTTTGCCAACACCGTAATTCAAATGCATCAATCCTTCTTCGATCTTCCTTACTTATTGTCCAACTTTCACATGCATATGAGGCTATTGAAAATACCGTGGCTTGGGTCAGGCACACCTTGGTTCTCAAAGTGACATCTTTGCTTTGTAACACTTTAAAGAGGTCTTTTGCAGCCCATTTGCTTAATGTAATATGTCATTTGATTTTTTGACCACTGCTTCCATGGATGTTGATTGTGGATCCAAGTAAAATGAAATCCTTGATAACTTCAATCTTTTCTCCATTTATCATGATGTTGCTTACTGGTCCAGTTGTAAGGATTTTTGTTTTCTTTATGTTGAGGTTTAATCCATACTGAAGGCTGTGGTCTTCGATCTTCATCAGTAAGTGTTTCAAATCCTCTTTGTTTTTCACAAGCAAGATTGTGTCATTTGCATATCTCAGGTTGTTAATTAATCTTCCTCCAATACTGATGCCATAATACATACTTAAGACTGTGAAATTTGTTACTATGAGTTTAAAAACTTCTTTTGACATATTGACTGGCTTCATTAATATAGGCAATGTGTATTTTATTAATATGAATGTATCCAAGTACATTGCTGCCAAGTCGACTCCAATTTACAGTGACCCTATAGGACAGAGTAGAATTGCCCCATAAGGTTTCCAAGTAGCAGCTGGTGGATTAGAACTGCTGACCTTTTGGTTAGCAGCCAAGCTCTTAACCACTGCACCAACAGGGCTTCTATGAATGTATAAGTATCCATTATTTATCCCCTAATGGTTTAAACATATGGCAGAATGCTCCTTAGAAACAAGGATGGCGAGATTACCTTTCACATACTTTGGACAAGTTATCAGGAGGAATTAGTCCCTGGAGAAGGGCATCATGCTTGGTAAAGTAGAGGGTCAGTGAAAAAGAGGAAGACCCTCCATGAGATGGATTGACATAGTGGCTGCAACAATGGACTCAAGCATAGCAATGATTGTGAGGATGACTCAGGACCAGGCAGTGTTTTGTTCTGTTGTATGTAGGGTCACTATGAGTCAGAACCAGCTCAATGGCACCTGACAACAACAACAATTTAAATATAGAATGTTATTCTGGAATTACATGAGACTTTTTTTCCTTTTTAACTGGTCCCATTCTCTTATAGAAATTTGTGTAGTCTAGAAAATTATTATTTAATACTGTGCCTAACAGTTATTTTTATATGCAAAAATAATTCTGTTATCTTCTGCCAACCTGAATTTTACAGGAATAATGATAAATTTATGAACCTTGATTTAAGTGTCAGAAAATTTAGGCATTAGTGCAAATTCTGTCAATTAACTGTGTGATCCTGGACAAATCAAGTGAGAGATGTATGTTAAATGATAAGAAAGGATAAAAGTGATGGTCATATGTCAGAAACTATTATATTTAAGGAGTAGTCAACAAAACGATATCTGATTGTCTTATTTACAAGTGTTTTTTATTTAAAATAATAATAATAATTTGAAATTTTATGTTGTGCTTTACAAGTGGTATACAGAGTCTTTTAAACACCACTGCCAGAGTGTTATTGTATTATGTCATGTCATACCATATTTATAGGTTGTTTTATGTCAGGCTTTTATTTTACATAATTGAGCAAGATTTGTGCATGTTTTTTGTGTATTATATAACATGCTTGTAATAATGTCTTGTTGGTATGAAACTGTATTTTGATTTATGTTTTGCTTAAAAAATTGGAGCTAAATCTATAAATAATCCAGGGTTTAAATCTTCAAAAAAAAAAAAGGAAGAAGCAACCCTACAAAGCGTTGTTTGTTTTAACTTCTAGCATTCCAAAGCATATACTGGAGCCAAGAGAACTGCCAATCCTCCTCACATTTTTGCAATGGCTGACTTAGGGTACCAGTCTATGGTTACATATAATTCAGATCAGGTAAGGAGAGTCTCACACTCTCAGAGATTTCCCTCTTAGATTCTCATGGGTCAGTTGAATCTTGTGAGGAGAAAGTCTTCTCACAGCTCCTTTTTCTTACTGTGCAGTGCATAGTTATCTCTGGAGAAAGTGGTGCTGGGAAGACAGAAAGTGCCCATCTTTTGGTTCAGCAGCTGACGATACTTGGGAAGGTATAATTTATTTTTTTTTCTCTGTCCTCACAGAAATATTTATTGTATCTAAGAACTTAATATAACTGAGTAATAATATTCACTAATTTCCCCACATTTAATCATGCACAGAAGTTATATAAAACACACTTGTCATTTGAGAGTTTAAAATATAACACAATCTGAAAATACTCTGTTTTGAGGATATTCTAAATTTTCTCAATCTTATTAGGGAAGTCTTTCTAAATGTGATTTTTCTTTGTTTGAGGCCCAAAGCATTTGCTAAATATTTTCTTTACTTTCTCTCATTTTGTTGCTAGCAGGTTGCAAAGGAGTCAATTTACAAAATTAATTCTTTTTCTGTATACTAGCAATGATCAACTGGATATTGAAACTTAAAAGTACCATTTACAATCCCACACACACAAAAATAACTATTTAGATCTGAATCTCACAAAATATGTGCAGTATTTATATATCGATAACTACCACAAAGTGATAAAAGAAATTGAAGACCTGGATGAATGGAGAGATAAACCATGCTCATGAATTAAAAGACTCGGTATTATTTAAGATGTCGATTCTTCACAAATCGATGTACAGAGTTAATGGAATTACAACAAAAATCCCAGCAGGAATTTTTTGTTCAGTTTAACAGACTAAACCTAAAATTTATATGGAAATGCAAAGAAACTAGAAAACCTAAAACAATTTCAAAAACAATAAAGTTGGAGGACTCATACTACCTGATTTCCAGACTTAACTATAAAGTTGCATCAGTCAAGAACAAAACCAAACCAATCCCATGCCGTCAAATTGATTCCAACTCATGGGGACTTCCTGTGTTACAGAGTAGAATGCTCCATAGGATTTTCTTGGCTGTAATGTTTATGGAAGCAGATCCACAAGGCTTTCTTCTGTGGAGCCTTTGGGTAGGTTCAAACCACCAACCTGTAAGTTAGCAGCTAATTGCAAACCTCTTGCACCACTCAAAGACCAGTAGTCAAGACAGTGTGGTATTAAAGCAAAAATGGCATATACATCAATGGAACAAAATAGAGATCCATACGTATGTGGTCTATTGGTTTTCAACAAAGATCAATTAATGAAGAAAAGATAATCTTTTCAACGAACGGTGCTCGAATAATTGGAATATACCTATACAAAAACACGAACTTTGAAGCGGATTTCACACACTATAGCAGAATAACTCCATATAGATCATAGATCTAAATGTAACACTAAAAACTATAAAACTTTTAGAAGCAAACATAAGAAAACTTTTTTGTGATCTTGGCTTAGGCAAAGAGTTCTTAGATACAACACAAAAATTCGATTTTATAAAATTTAAGAACTCCTCTTTGAATGATGCTGCTAAGAAAATGAAAACACAAGCCACAGACTCAAGAAACTATTTGCAAATCATATATCTAATAAATAACTTACATCGGAATATATTTTTAAACCTCTTAAAACTCAGTAATAAGAAAACAAATGGCCAATTAAAAAATGGACAAAAACTTTAAACAGTCACTTTACCAAAGACGATATATAAACCTACTGCCATTGAGTTGATTCCAACTCATAGTGACCCTATAGGACAGAGTAGAACTGCCCCATAGGGTTTACAAGGCTGTAATCTTTTGGAGCCCTGTTAGCACAGTAGTTAAGAGCTTGACTGCTAAACAAAAGGTCTGTAGTTTGAATCCACCAGCTGCTCCTGGAAACCCCATGGGGCAGTTCTACTCTGTCCTATAGGGTAACAATGAGTCAGAATTGACTTGATGGCGACGGGTGTGGCCGGTGGATTCAAATCACCGACCTTTAGGTTAGCAGTTGAATGCTTAACCATTGCATCACCAAGGCTGCTTAGATGATATATAGATGCCAATTAAACACATGGAAAGATGTTCAACATCATTAGTTTTTAGAGAAATGCAAATTAAAACCACAATGAGATACCATTACCAGTACTAGTTGCTGCCAGTCAATTCAGATCCATAGAAACCCCATTTGTGTTAGAATAGAACTGTGATTCATAGGGTTTTCTTTCTTATATTTTTTAATTTATTTTTTTATTGTTCTTTACGGGAAAATTTACAGCTTCTCATATAAACATTTATGCACACATTGTTATGTGACCCTGGTTGCTATCCCTATAATTAGACAGCACACTCCTCCTTTCCACCCTGGATTTCCTGTGTTCACTCAACGATTTCCTATCCCTTTCTGCCTTCTCATCTCGCCTCCGGACAGGAGCTGCCCACTTAGTCTTGGGTATCTATTTGAACTAAGAAACACAGTTGTCAAGAGTATAATTTTATGTCTCATAGTCCTGTCTATTCTTTGTCTGGAGTTGGCTTCGGGAATGGTTTTAGTTCTGGGTTAACAGGGAGGCCGGGGGCCCTGTCTTCTGGGGTTCTTCCAGTCTTAGACCATTAAGTCTGGTCTTTTTAATAGAATTTGATTTCTGCACCACACTTTTCTCCTGTGCCGTCAGGGACTCTCTGTTGTGTACTCTGTCAGGGCGGTCACTGGTGGTATCCAGGAACCATCTAGACCTTCTGGTCTCAGGCTGATGGAGACTCTGGTTATGTGGCCCCTTTTGTCTCTTGAACTAATATTTTCTTTGTGTCTTTGGTGTTCTTCATTCTTCTTTGCTTCAGGTAGGTTGGGACCAATTGATGCATCTTAAATGGCCACTTGCTAGGTTTTAAGACCCCAGACGCCACTCACCAAAATGGGATGCAGAACATTTTCTTAATAAACTTCGTTATGCCAACTGACCCAGATGTCCCCTGAAACCATGATCCACAGACCCTATAGGGGTTTCAGTAGCTGATTTTTCAGAAATAGATCACCAGGCCTTTCTTCCAAGGTGCCTTTTGTGGACTCGAACCTCCAAACTTTTGGTTAGGTGCTGAACACATTAACTATTTGTACCACCCCAGGACTCCAAGATACCATTACACACCTATTAAAGTAGCTAAAAGAAAATTCTGACAACACCAAGTATACAGACAAATTGGAACTTCTCATACATTGCTGATGAGAATGCAAAATTATACAGCCATGAAGGAAAACCATTTGAAGTTTCTTATAAAATTAAACTGCATTTACCATACAACACAGCAATTCTACTCCTGCTTATTTATATATGAAATGAATACCCATGTTCATACAAAAACAAACATTTATAGTGACTTTATTCATAAGCTCCAGAAAGTGGGAACAATCAAACTAGGAAATGGATGAACAAACTCCAGTACATCTATACAATGGAATCCTACTCAGCAGTAAAAAAAATGAACTATTGATATATGCAGTGAATCTCAGTGAATATTTCAATGAATCTCAAATGCATTATGCTAAGTCAAAGAAGCCAGATTCAAAAGACTACATATGGCATTCTTGCAAATTTAAAACTGTAGGGACAGAAAACAAATCCTTGACTGTTAGGAGCTGGGGTTTAAGGAGGGATTGACTAAAAGGGTCACAGGATAATTTTGGAGGACAATAGAATTGTTCTCTATGTTGACTGTAGTGGGGGTTACACAATTGTATAATTTTGCCAAAACTCACAGAACTGTGTCCTACAAAGGGTGAATTTTACTATATGTAAAACTTTATTACACCTTCATGAAATAAAAAGGAATCTGAAGATAGAGACTTAGTTTGTTTTTGCAGGAATAATCCTTCAAATGAGCTAAAACGACAATTACGTGTTCTCATTATGCTGGTGGCTAAAAAATAATCATCACTTGCAACATGCTCCTATGAAATTTTTTTATTATTATCTACATAGTTACAATTAGAATCATATTAAAATTTTTGCCAACACAGTGATTATGGGAATTTTGTGTTAAAAAATACCAACGGGTACCAGGCCAGACCTAATCTCACTATAAAAGAGTGAGGCCACATAGTGTCAAAGCAACTGCTTAATTGAGTCTAATTCATTTTCAAGAATTCAAGAATTCCATGGCTTCATATTAAAAAGCAATTGACTCGCAGTCAGATGGAAAGTTTATTGATCAGTTACTTCTGTTTGAGATTTTGCTACAAAAGGCAGAGCTTACTCTGGAACTTTCTACTATCCACAACTTGGTTAAATTTTTATTTATTATAATTTTGAGACACACTTTCTTTTTTAAAAAATCATCCTGAGGCTAGTTCATGCAGTGCCAGACCTAAAAAGTTCTGCAGTACAGAGGAATCACTGAGGATTCCATAGCTGGAAGTGTTAGAGTAGGACTTCACTTAGGGAAAAAGCTGGTTTGGAGCATCCGGTTGTAAAAAAATATGTGCAAGTTCGACTTCAAAAGTGTTTTTAAAGTCTAACATTATTCAACATAGGTAGTTTGACGAGGAGGAGGATGGTGGTGGTGATGACATCTTCATTCTTATGGTCTTTTGTAGTTTCAAAACTCTCACCAAACTATTTCATTTAATCCTACCTATTCTGGCATGGTTTTTTTTTTTTTTTTTTTGATACTGGGTGGCGCAAACAGTTAAGTACTTGACTACTAGCCAAAAGGTTAGTAGTTCAAGCCTACCCAGAGGTGCCCAGGAAGACAGGCCTAGTGATCTGCTTCTGAAAGATGACAGCATTGAAAATCATATGGAGCACAGTTCTATTCGGCACACATGGGGTTGCCATGAGTCGGAGTCGGCTCAGCAGCAACTAACGACAACAACATTCTATGAGGTATTCAATGCCATTACGAATTTATATAAGGAAATTGAGATTCAGAGAGGTTAAGGCTGAGATCACATGAGTATAGGTACAGCATCAGAGAAGAATTTGAAAGGCATTTCAAGATACTATAACTTTATTTGACTTTTTGTTTCACATTTTGAAGTTTTTGGCAGCAGGATAGCAGCATCAGGAGGAAAGGGTTGAAGCTGCATGGCAAGTCTCCATGTTGTGCATCGGTGGGCATAGGATGAAAACATGATTTGTACAAGCTATTGTGTTAATAATAAGAAAATATCTAAAGGTCTTCCTTGAAAAAGCATCTGAATGCATGAACCAAATAGCTGTTTTCATAGAATCCAAAATCATTTTGAAGGATACACACTAATGAGATAAATATAAGAGAAATAACCCTCTTTCCAACCATCCCATCATCCCATGAAGAATGTGCTGAGACCCTTTAAAAGTTAGAATACCTAAAATTTCTAACGGAGCTGTATCTTTCATTTGACTCACTGAATTTTGTTGAAATATGCACCTAGATACTTTGGGGGAATTTATACACAATGAAAGTAATTATTTTTGCAATTTCAAATAATAAATCACTATAGCTAATATGTTATCTTCAAGCACAGTCATTAAATAAGAAAAGACTAAAATGATTGTCAGAAGAGACTCTAAAACTTCCTCTTGAATGTAGAATAGCTAAAGCAAAAGGAACAAATGATGAAGTAAAAGAGCTGAACAGAAGATTTCAAAGCGTGCCTCCAGAAGACAAAGTAAAATATTATAATGAAGTATGCAAAGACCAGGAGTTAAAAAACCAAAAGGATAGAAAATGCTCAGCATTTCTCAAGATGAAAGAACTAAAGAAACAATTCAAGCACTGAGTTGCAATTTTGAAGGATTCTATGGGCAAAATATTGAATGACACAGGAAGCATCAAAAGCAGATGGAAGGAATACACAGAATCACCGTACCAAAAGAAACTGGTGGATGTTCAACCATTTCAGGAGGTAGCACATGATCAAGAACCAATGGTATTGAAAGAAGTCTAAGCCGCACTGAAGACATTGGCAAAAAAACAAGGCTCCAGGAATTGACAGAATACCAATTAAGATGTTTCAACAAAGGGATGCAGTGCTGGAGGTGCTCACTCGTTTATGCCAAGAAATTTGGAAGACAGCTACCTGGCTAGCGGACTGGAAGAGATCCACTTGTGCCCATTCTAAAGAAAGGTGATCCAACCAAATGCAGAAATTATCGAACAATATCATTAATATCACATGCAAGTAAAATTTTGCTGAAGATCATTCAAAAATGGTTGCAGCAGTACATCTACAGGGAACTGCCAGAAATTCAAACCAGATTCAGAAGATGACTTGGAACCAGGGATATCATTGCTGATGTCAGATGGATCCTGGCTGAAAGCAGAGAATAATAGAAAGATGTTTACTTGTGTTTTATTGACTATGCAAAGGCATTCAACTGTGTGGATTATGATAGATTGTGGATAACATTTTGAATAATGGGAATTCCGGAACATTTAATTGTGGTCGTGCAGAACCTGTACATAGACCCAGAGACAGGCGTTTGAACAGAGCATGTGGATACTGTACGGTTTAAAATCAAGAAATGTGTGTGTCAGGGTTGTATCCTTTCACCATACTTTTTCAGTCTGTATACTGAGCAAATAATCTGAGAAGCTGAACTATATGAAGAAGAACTTGGCATCAGGACTGGAGGAAAACTCATTAACAACCTGCAATATGCAGATGACATAAGCTTGCTTGCTGAAAGTGAAGAGGATTTGAAGCACTTACTGATGAAGATCAAAGATTACAGCCTTCAGTATGGATTACACCTCAACATAAAGAAAACAAAAATCCTCACAACTGGACCAATAAGCAACATCATGATAAATGGAGAAAAGATCGACATTGTCGTGGATTAGTTTTGCTTTGATCCACAATCAACACCCATGAAAGTAGCAATCAGGAAATCCAACGACATATTGCACTGGGCAATGGGCTGCAAAAGATCACTTTAAAGTGTTAAACAGCAGAGATGTCAGTTTGAGGACTAAGGTGTGCCTAACCCAAGCCACAATGTTTTCAATCACCTCACATGCATGCGAAAGCTGGACAGTGAATAAGGAAGACCAAAGAAGAATTGATGCATTTGAATTATGGTGTTGGCGAAGAATATTGAATAGAACATGAACCGCCAGAAGAGCAAACAAGTTTGTCTTGGAAGAAATACAGCCAGAGTTCTCCGTAGAAGCGAGGTTGGCAAGACTTTGTCTCACTTACTTTGTACCTGTTATCAGAAGGGACCAGTCACTGGAGAAGGACATCATGCTTGGTAAAGTAGAGGGTCAGCAAAAAAAGAGGAAGACCCTCGATGAGATGGATTGACACAGTGGCTGCAACAATGGGCTCAAACATAACAACGATTGTGAGGATGGCACAGGACCGGGCAGTGTTTCGTTCTATTGTATATAGGGTCAAAACCTATTCCACAGCACCTAACAATAACAACAGCGGGATTGGCTTCAGTGAAACTTGCTCTCTAAATAGTTCTCAAACGTGCTTCATGAGTCCTCTAAAGTATGCATAATAAGATGCTTTAAAAATTTGATGACTAAAAAAAAAAATCAATTGACTGGTTTTAATATTTTCTATCATATGTATTGGTATGGAATAGAAATTGACTTCACTCAATGGATTAATATGACCTCTACTAACCACACCTGTGAGTGACCCCTCAGGACTAGAAAGCCAGTAGGGACTAAGAAGGTGGTACCACCTCAGGGCTCTACCGTCAATCCCTTCCCCATCCCTTTGCTCATCAGCTCTCCTCTGCTTACTTGTAGGCTAGTATCATTCTTAAAGCCGTTATCCATTGCCATTGAGTCAAGGCAGTGAAATAAGATGTAATTTGGAAGAGGAGAAGGGAGGCACAGCATATTCTCTTGGCACAGAAGAGTTGAGCACTTGAATTAATTTACTCAAGGGCCTTCCACGAGGGCCATTGCTGTTCTTCATTTGTGGGCCAGTAGACATTCTCATCAATAATGGATTAACTGTGTGTCAATGTTGTTTTATAGATGTCAGCAAACTTCTTTATCTAATCTCTTTATCTTGTTCTAGAGTTAAAAATGTGATTTAATGTTAATTGGGGATATGTGTATGTACCAGAATTCTACCCTTATCAGATCTTGCTTTTTTTTTTTTCTTTTTTTTTTTTAGTTATCTCCTTGATTTTTTAATATGTGGGTCCAAGAAATGAATAAAGATTTACCAGATGCAAAAATGGGATGTTTAGTGGATAGAGTTTGCCTTTGCAATATGCAGTCCTCCATACTTTACTTAGCAGGTCACTGCTATTTAATACAAGGGATCCAAAGCCAGCTCAAAGCAACATTTTAAAATAGTCAAAATGTGGCCCAGTTCTTTTTACTCATCTCTCACCCTTATTGCTTCTTTTAGAAGATACCCAAATCTCTAATACTGACTCAAAACCTCACCGTGAGTCCCCACTCCAGCCCCCGCAAGCTCTAATGTAGCCTGTATTCTGGACATACCTACTGCTTCTCTCCCTTACCTGTAAATTTTGTAAATCTTAAATACAGCTGATCTCAGCTAAGTATTACATTGAAAGTCATCCAGTCAAGCTAATTTCTACCAAGATGTGAATAACTGATACCCCTCTACACCTCTAAGGGGAATTGTCTTTCTAAAACAGGTTGGTTGTAGCCCAAATAAATTTCTACTTGGTGAAATTAATTAATTAATTTAAAAAAAAAAAAACACACTTTTTTGAGAGGAAGAGAATAATGAGATGGGGTAGGAGGAAATAGAGGGAGAGCCAAGCAGGGTGGCTTTGACTGGGGTTTCACTGCTCCAATCTACACTTCCAAGCTGTTCTCAGTTTTTGCAATTATTTCCTTTCCTCTACTTCTGAATTCACAAATTGTCTTTGCTTTTTAGTTTCAGGTTCAGCAGCTTCCCTGAAAGCAAGGGAAGCAATGCTGAGAAACGTTTATGTGGGGGCGCAGTCAGGTAGAGGAGGAATAACAAAACTAGAGGTGTGTCTCAGTATGTATAGACTGCTTTTAAATTGTGTGCTTGTAAATCAGGTACTGAACAGAACTATATTTGAATCGAAAAGGTATAGAGTATCTCTTCGCCCCTCTTTAAGAAGGCAAGCGGGTAAATGCATATGTGGAAAGGGGAAAAGCAGACCAGGTTGTAACATTTGACAGTATACCAGGAATATGCTCTCTTATGCTTTTGCCTACATTAAAAGCTTATCAAAAAAGGGAAATGTTTTATTATATACAAAATTAATTTTTTACATGCTTTCCTATATTACTTGACATTTCCTCTTTAGGCTAATAATAGAACACTTCAAGAGAAGATTTTACAAGTGAACAATTTGGTGGAAGCCTTTGGCAATGCGTGCACTATTATAAATGACAACTCCAGCAGATTTGGAAAATACTTAGAAATGAAATTCACCTCTTCTGGAGCTGTGGTGGGAGCACAGATTTCTGAGTACCTTCTGGAGAAATCTCGAGTTATCCACCAAGCTATGTAAGTTTATGTCAAATATCTCCTATTTTGTGGGAAACGTGTAAAACTAATAGTTTTGTTTTAATAATAAAATGTCTTATTCGTTCAACAAAATTTGATTTATCACCTACTGTGTGCAAGGCAATAAGTATTAGAATCAGAGAGATCCTTCAGCACTGTCTTACTCTCAAGTGTGTTACATCCAGTAGGAAAAAAAGAAAAATTTCTGTTGAGTCCTACTCACGGTGACCCCGTGTGTCAGAGTAAAACTGTGCTCCACAGGGTTTTCAATGGCTGATTTTTTGAAAGTAGATCATTAGGCCTTTCTTCCGAGGCACCTGTGGGTGGACTCGAACCTCCAGCCTTTCAGTTAGCAGCCAAGTGTGTTAACTGTTTGCACCACCTAGGGACTCCATACCCAGCAGAGGAGTTAACAAACAACTTTTAAAAGTCTGATAACAGATAGAAAACCTAAGTCCATAATCAAGGTATTAACAGGGTAAATTAGAGTGAGTTCAGAAGTAGGAGAGAATGTATTTCTCTACATACAACTAATGTGAAATAACTGAGCCATTTGTTTTCTTTTGAATGCCGGTATATACAAGTAGACCTTCATATTAATTCTATTCTTCCTATGTTTATACACAAAGATTCCACAAATCTTTTATGGAATAAAAGATCCAAGAACGGGCTTTATTGCATTGCCTTAATTATTGCTGGCTGATTTAAGCCATCATTACTATTTATGATTGTTGTGGATTAAATTGTGTCCTGCAAAAATGTGTGTCGACTTGGCTGGGCCATGATTCCCAGTATTGTGTGATTGTCCATCATTTTGTCATCTGATGTGATTTTGCTATGTGTTGTAAATCCTACCTCTATGATATTAAGGAGGCAGGATTAGAGGCAGTTATGTTAATGAGGCAGGACTCAATCTACAAGATTACGTTGTATTTTTAATAAATCTCTTTTGAGATATAAAAGAGAGAAGCCAAGAGCGAGACGGGGACCTCATACCACCAAGAAACAAGAGCTGGGAGTGAGCACATCCTTTGGACCTGGGGTCCCTGCACTAGAAACTTCTAGACCAGGGGAAAATTGATGACAAGGACCTTCCCCTAGAGCTAGACAGAGAGAGAGCCTTCCCCTGGAGCTGGCACCCTGAATTTGGACTTCTAGCCTCCTACATTGTGAGAGAATAAACTTCTGTTTGTTAAAGCTATCCACTTGTGGTATTTCTGTTATAGCAGCACTAGATAACTGAGGCAATGATGTTTTGGTGTTAGGTAGGTTGAATGAGTTCCTTTTAGCAGTTTGTAGCTGAATGATAAAATTTCTCTCCTGTCCTAATGGTTCCAAAACATCTTTGCTATTCTTATGACTATGAGGAAACTATAGTCCCAACATGGATTCGTACCCTGTATATATATTTAAGTGTGGCAAGTTAGAATCTTTCTTTTTTTATATTGTTTGTATGCTAAACATAACTCTACATTATTGTAGTAACAAGTAATACATTAAACTCATGGGACCATAAGCTCTTGCTATGTATTACTACATGGTTGTTTAATATAAAAACAAAAAACCAAACCCACTGCTGTCTAGTGGATTCTGACTCATAGTGACCCTATATGACAGAGTAGAATTGCCCCATAGAGTTTCCAAGGAGTGGCTCGTGGGTTCAAACTGCCAACCTTTTGGTTAGCAGCTGTAAATTTGCTATCATTCGATTCATGAATAAACTATGAATATAAATTGCCTGGAATCCAGTTCCTGAGTTCAGTCCTCAAAGTGAAAATTACCGTTTGTTCTTAAATTCTGAATATATAAGAAATGATTATTAGACAACTATGATTTTGAATCTTGGTTCCATGACATATTAGACTACTGTGATGGTTAGGGTTATGTGTCAACTTGCCTAGGCCATGATTCTCTGTAGTTTGTCAGTCATGTAAAGATGTAGTTCGGCAGTTATGTAATGATGTAATTTGGCAGTTATGTAATGATGTAGTCATCCTCCATGATGTGAGCTGATATGATCAACCAAACAGTTGTAAGGGTAATTTACTTAAGGATGTGGCCTGCATCCAATATATATATATGGATGTTCTGGAAAAGCTTACTTGTTTGCTCTGGACCCTGTTTCTAGCTTGTCATAATCTGACCTCCAGTTCTTGGGACTTGAGCCAGTTGCCTGTCGCATTGCCTGCTGATTTTGGGATTCATCAGCCTCTGCAGCTTGTGAGTTAGCGGACTTCCATCTTACCTGCTGATCTTAGGTTCATCAGCTCCAGCAGCTACATGAGTCAGGAGAAGCCCTGGGGCAATCTACATCTGAAAAATCAGCCACTGAAAACCCTATGGAGCCCAGTTTTCTTCTGATACACATAGGGTCACCATGAGTCAGAGTTGACTTGACGACAACTGTTTTTTTAAAAGTTTTTTTATCAACACTGTTACTGCTACAATGGCTTAAACTCATGGAGTTCTTATATGTACTTTAAAGGTATTGCCTTAGCTGGTATCAGGTAGGTACAATTACTATTTTCATTTTAAAGACGAGAAACTGAGGTGCAGAGAAGTTAAGTAAACTTGTTTCAAATCATACACCTAGTAAGTTTCAAAGCCAAGATCTTGTAAGGGTCTGTAAGGTTTAAATATCTTACCCAAAGTGGGTGTCTTAGGCTGAGCTTGCCAGAGAAGCAAAACTAGTGAAGTGTGTGTGTGTCTATGTACGGAGAGAGAGAGTTTTATCTCAAGGATATAGCTCACACGGCTGTAGAGGCTGGCAAGTTCCAAGTCCATTGGTCAGGTGTCAGGCTGACCAGTTAAGATAATACCTTTAAAGTACATATAAGAACTCCATAAGTTTAAACCATTGTAGCAGTAGTAGTGCTGATTAAAAAAAACAGTTGCCGTCAAGTCAACTCTGACTCATGGTGACCCTATGTGTGTCAGAAGAAAACTGGGCTCCATAGGGTTTTCAGTGGCTGATTTTTCAGACATAGATTGCCAGGGCTTTCTTCTGAGGCACCTCTGGGTGGACTCCAACCTCCAACCTTTTGGTTAGCAGCAGAGTGGGTTAACTATTGGTCCCACCTAGGGACTCTAGTAGTGTTGATAGTTGTGAAGATTAAAAATAATGGCTAACATAGTACCTGGGACATTGAAGATGTTCAGGAAATGGCAGCTCCTATTATCGATATGTGCCCAATGTCCACCATTGGTGAGCAGTGCCCTTGCCACCCCCACGGGCAGGGACCTCGGCGTCTTATGTCAATGTTGGGAGTTAATTGGTTCTCAGAACTACTTGTCCTATGCTCATAACTGTGTAAGCCTGCCCTTCAGCCTTTGAGAAAGAACTACTGAGAGGCTAAATCATTGAGATTTAGATGGGACCACCGTATTGCACAATGCCAGGGGGCTCTTTTTACATTGTGTTCTATGGAGTTATGTTCCCTCTGGAGTTACACAACGAGGTCCTGGATTTTTAACCATAGAAATGATCTTATAAATGTGTATTAAAATGGTGCAATTAGGATTATACTTAAGGCATACTACAAATTAAGTAAGCTTTTTCCAGCTGGTCTAACGAACTATTCTAGGTTTACAGCGTTGTTTATTGGGGAAAAGCATTCCAAGTTCCAAATTTACAATCAGGTTGAAATACAACTCAGTTATAACTTGAGGACCAAAACCGTTGCTGGCAAGTCAATTCCAACTCATAGTGACTCTATAAGACACAGAACTGCCCCATAGGATTTCCAAGGAGCAGCTGGTGGATTCAAACTGCCGACCTTTTGGTTAGCAGCTGTAACTTTTAACCACTGCGCCACCAGAGCTCCAAGTTGAGAACAGATACCTTATAATTTATGAGGAAATATTTTTCCAGTCTTTGCATCAATTTATTTCTTTTGCTGTATTTCAACCGAATTTTTAAATTCTAGGAAACATAATTTTTATGTTTTCAAATTAAATTTAAATTTTTAAATTTTGTAGTCCTTGAAAATAAAAATATCAGAAGTGTGATAGAAAAATTCTTAGTAGGTGCTTTTTTTAATTATAAATTTAAATGTACTATATCAGTCAGGGACCTGGCTAGAAAGAGCAAATTCAAAAGGGTTTAACTGAGAGAATGATTTACAAAGGTAGAGTGCGCACTGAAGAACCAAGAGTGGATGGTGAAACACCCCTGAACTAATGACGGTGAGAAACCATTACTACTCCTAGGGCTGGAGGCAATGGGAGGAAACAGCACTACAGAGCCTGGAAGAGGGCCACTGTCAAGAGCTGTTGCCCTAAAGGAATGCAGCACTGTTTGGGAGAGAAAAGGGGATAAATACCTCAAGATCTCTCGTCTCCCTTCTTCCGGTTTCCTACCTGTGCTTCCAATTGGTTGAATCAACTGGAAGCCAGAAAGCAAGAGACCCCAGATATTGCAGTCTGTAGGGGTTAGCCACTGGGGTCACAGAGCAAGGCATACATAGATCTGACGGGGCAGAGGAGAACCAGGGCAGACATTTTTTTTTAATGCAATTACTCTCTTTTAAAGGAATAAGTTCTTTTCTCCTCTTCTTGCCCATGTTATCCCATCCCAATCTCTGGACACATTTATTTCTATATTGCCTTTCTAATGGTGGTACTACCATACAATCTGTGATGAAATCAAATCATTTTCTAAATGCAGATAATTTTAAAGAGACACTACATAATTTCAAGAAGAAAATGAGCATATTGCAGTCATTTGCTGGATAATGCTCATAAATATAAATTACAGCTACTTCCACTGCAGTTTTCTACTATTATTACAGTTTACTTCAGGAAGCATTCATTGAGTTTTTCTCACATGTCCAGTACTTTGCTAGACTTCATAGGAGATATGAAAAAAAGTGGCAGACATGGGGCTATCTATTGTGAAAGAAGAGAGAATATTATCTATTAAGCAGTTACTCTATGTCAGGCACTGTGCTAAGCATTTTACATCATCTCTTTTAATTCTGATAGTGGTCCACTGAGAAGGG